CACACCACTCTCGAAATGTGAAAAAGACAAAAATGTGGCGGGTGCATCTGGCCATGTTCTAGCGGGAAGTTCATTTTCATTTTGCACATTTCGAGAGTGGTGTGGCGGTGCCCTAAGAGAGGAGTCCTTCGGATCAGCCGTTAAAATTGGAGCGATACAGAGAATGAAGATTAGCATGGCCATAGTTTTTGTCTTCTGGGCCACTACCCTCCAAATGCGCAAAGGGAGAGTGAATCCTTCGCTAGAACATGGAAAGATACAGCGCCATAGTTTTTATCTTCTGGGCCAAGGTCCCACTAGCAAAGAGAATACTAGGATCAAGTTCCCGAATCTGGATTTGTTTCATGCAGAGATGCAGAAAAGCAGTTCGATCTCGATTTCCTGCCTCTCTCCACAAGCACGTCCAGATTCAGGCGTTCGATCCGATCCTCTTTGCTAGTGGGACCACGCACACCCCTGTGCATGTGCAGAGTAGTGGAGCGACGCCCACTCACTGTGCTGTATCAAGCAGCAGAATTCGAGCGGGGGGGGTTGAAAAGCAGCCGGGCATGATCTCACGTTTTGCGAGTGGAACGCTGGGAAGCTCTAAGAAGAGGGGGGTGGAGGTGGGGGGGGAGGAGGGGCTGGGGGAGAGGGGGACGGGGAAGGGGCTGGGGGAGAGGGGGAAAGGGGAGGGGCTGGGGGAGAGGGGGAAGGGGGAGGGGCAGGTGCCGTCCCCGCTAATTAAGAGCGGAAGGGCTGTGGCACAGCCTCTTGTCTTGCTGCTAGTGATTGCGATTATTACGATCTCAGGGCATACTCACACTATCACTTTGGTGAATGTATCTCATCGCAAGTATGGCCGTGTTTGGATGAATCTGACCGAAATCAAGTCCAGAGCTTAGTAGAAAACGTGTCCGTGGGAGTATGCCCTCAAGCGCAAGAAAGGGCGCAGTTAGATGTCATCTCGCGCCAAAAAGGGGAAAAAAAAAGAAAAGATGTCATCTGGCGGTCATCGCAAGCAGGATGTGAAGAGGAAGTGAGCGAATTCACACTAAAGATTGTTTCGACTTACTGTATTTCTCGACGTAATTGCAGTTTACTATCAGATGCACCCAGGTCCGGCCGTAATTAGGGCCAGATACGTCTAGAAAAGTCCTACCTAGTGTGAGTGTGTTCTGAAGCGGTGATTGGTTTAGGGGGAATGGATCTGCAATCGTTGGAGCCACGTCGAGGGTCAGGATGGAACGGCTTGTTAGGACAGGCAGGGTGCTTGTGCTCGTAGGCGAACTACCACCAGTTCCACTTGCGGGTAAGCGTGGACGATTTCACCGCGAGGGGGGCGAGTCGAAGAGAGGGGCGCGAGGGCAGAGGGGGGGAGGGAGGAAAAGGGCGTTTTTTTTTTTTGGGTGCACACTTTTGATGTGTGTGCAGATCAATCTACCGGCAACCTCCTGACATATGGGACATCTTCCGGCAGCGGGCAACCCTGCGCTAAGTTACCTCGTTGCCCCTCTCTCTCTCTCTCTCTCTCTCTCTCTCTCTCTCTCTCTCTCTCTCTCTCTCTCTGTGTGTGTGGGTGTGTGGGTGTGTGTCTGTCTGTCTTTTGTGGCTGCGCGCGTGCGATCGCCCTCTGCGCTCGATTTCCGTGACTGAAGGGCCGTCGTGATATATCGTAGATCAGAGGGTTGATTCATCTGTGTGTGTGTGTGTGTGTGTGTGTGTGTGTGCGTGCGTGTCTTTGTCTCTGTGTCTGTCGCTGTCTTTTGTGGCTGCGCGCGTGCGGTCGCCCTCTGCGCTCGCTTTCGGTGACTTGAGGGCCGTCGTTATATATCGTAGATCAGAGGGTTGAGTCGTTTTGATGGATGTGCTATTTCTGCACTGATGATGGCTGAGCGGCTTAGGCAGCTCCAGATTAGCAGTAATCTTGTCAATGCTCTTCTCCTCATGATTGGTCCGATAGGAATTTCATCATCAATAGATAGGTTAGTACTACGTTCTTCACCTGATTAGAACGCCCGGCCATTACACCTGTACCTGGACTGGAAATTGCACCAAATACAGCTATAATGACCGGGCGTTCTATTCGGGAGAAGAGGCCAGGAACAGCTCATCAAGTTTTTTCTTGATGGGTTTCTCTGGTGCTCTGGGGGCGCGTTGACTTCGTGATCAGCCCTGGCGATGATTGGAGGCCATAATTGCGATCAGATACATTCAGCAAAGTGATAATCTGAGTATGCCCTGAGATACAGCGATGGACTGGTGTTTTGGCGTCCCA